AAAAAAAAAAAAAAAAAAAAGCAATACAGAGGAAAGCAGAATTAAGGGTAGAGAGTTCTGGAGCACATGGATTCAACTGCCCTAAGACTGTTCAGTTATATCAGCTGTCATTTTGCTTGCTTAGCTTAAACCAGTATGAACTGGTTTTCCATCACATGTTTGTAACTGAAAGAGCCTTGCCTAATAATTACAGTTTCACAAACACACACCCATGCATGCACACACACTTCTTTCTTCCCCCTACCCCGTGGTATTTCAGGACACACACACTTCTTAAGGCGAAGATGCACCTAATAGGAAGAACAGCACACAGGAGGAAAGGCAGCCTGTATCCTTCCTCTGCAAAATGCCCCCCTCTGGCAGCCTAAGCATTGAGGCCAAGCCCCACCCAGCCCTGCCCCTTCAGATCCCTACCTGCAGCATGGCCAGCGCCCGCCAGAAGAGCTTGGAGTTGCTAATTCGGAGGTCCAACATGTGGTTTTGCAGGATCTTACCAAGAAGCACGTGAGCACCCGTACTCACTGTATTCAGCACCCATTTGGTGCTTAGCTCACGTTGGAACTTCTGAAAAGGGCAGACACACTGGGGGTCAAAAATTAGAGGATGGAAGAGCAGCAGAGCGAACAGGGCCCTGTTATCACACAGGAAACCAACTGTCCAGAACCAGGGACCAAAATGCAGACATAATTTGTTTGAACAGCCCAGGGTTTAAATGTTAGGACAGTAGATATAAACTAGGACTGTCTCAGGCAAACCTGATAGCTTCACCTATTTGTGGTTTTGATCCCTATGTAGACAGATAACGGTCTCTGAGTCTTTCCACAGTAGAATTTTGATCCTGCTGAAACTTTCCTTTTTCTCCCCAGGTATCAGACAGAAGGAGTGGGATTCATTCCACTAAACCACAGGCTTCTTGAGAGGGCAGAGATGGTGTCTTATTCTGCTCCAGGGTCCCAGTCCTTTAGACCATGACTGACACATGGTGGCTGATCAATACGTTTGTTGAGGCCGGGCACAGTGGCTTATGCCTGTAATCCCACCACTTTGGGAGGCCGAGGTGGGCGGATCACCTGAGGTCAGGAGTTCTCAATAAGCCTAGCCAACATGATGAAATCCTGTCTCTACTAAAAATACAAAAAGTAGCTGGGAGTGGTGGCACACATCCGTAGTCCCAGCTACTGGGCAGGGGTGGGGGGCTGAGGCACAAGAATCTCTTGAACCTGGAAGGTAGAGGTTGCAGTGAGCTAAGATTGTGCCACTGCACTCCAGCCTGGGCGACAGAGTGAGACTGTGTCTCAGGGGAAAAAAAAATGTTTGCTGAAAAATGAATCCTATTTAATTTTTGTAACTACGCTACAGAATAGGTTTATCTATCCTCTTTTCTACATATGAGGAAACTAGAGGTCAGAAGTAAACTAACTTGGAAAAGCTCATATGATAATGAGATGCAGAAGAGGACCTAAATCCAGGTGTTCTGATTCAATGATGAGGGCCTTTCCTACTTTGCCACAAATATCTCCTGGATGAATGAGAGAACCTATGTGAAGGCATGTTGAAAACTAAAAAGTTGTACAAACGTGATATCGTGGGCATAAAACTGCCACCTGTTTTTGGCCCTTATAGCTTGTCCACTTAGGCACTTATAACACCTATTGGCACATTAGCAGGGAAACAAGGGCCCCGTAAAGGTGTTGAGGGGATTAATTAATTGGTGATATGGTTAGGCTTTGTGTCCTCACCCAAATCTCATCTTGAATTGTAATCCCCAAAATCCCTATGTGTCAAAGGAGAGAGCAGGTGGAGGTAATTGAATCATGGAGTGGGGGGCATGGGCCATGCTGTTCTTGTGATAGTGAGTGAGTTCTCACGAGATCTGATGGTTTTATAAGGGGCTCTTCTCCCTTCACTCAGCACTCTCCTTTCTGCCGCCTTGTGAAGAAGATGTCTTGCTTCCCCTTCACCCTCTGTCATGATCATAAGTTTCCTGAGGCCTCCCCAGCCATGCTGAGTAGTGGGCCACTTAAACCTCTTTTCCTTATAAATTATCCAGTCTTGCCAGGCACAGTGGCTCACACCTGTAACCCCAGCACTTCGGGAGGCCGAAGCAGGCAGATCACGAGGTCAAGAGTTTGACACCAGCCTGGCCAACATGGTGAAACCCTGTCTCTACTACTAAGAATACAAAAATTAGTCAGGTGTGGAGTGGGTGCCTGTAATCCCAGCTACTTGGGAGGCTGAGGCAGGAGAATTGCTTGAACCTGGGAGGCGGAGGTTGTAGTGAGCTGAAATCACACCACTGCACTCCAGCCTGGGCAACAGAGTGAGACTCTATCTCAAAAAAATAAATAAACAAATAAATAACCCAGTCTCGGGCAGTTCTTTAGAGCAGTATGAAAATGGGCTAATACACTTGGTCCTAGCCAGGCTGAGGAAAAAGATTACTGCTAATTTTACCTCTTTATTCTGTAACTCTAGAAATAGCTGGTCACACAAAACCCTGGAAGAGGGTATGCTGAAAACATTTTAACAAGTGAATGACCAGGACACTGAGTGTAAGAACAGGTATTTGACCAATTTCAGCATGAAACTCGCCAGTAAGTATGTAGTACTGATGCTACAGAATGTATGTCAGACTGTACTTTAGGAGAGAGATCAGTTAGATACGGGTTATACCACACACCATTTATACCACTAACATTAACATCATTAACACAAAAATATTTTAAATTTTACATAATTTGGAGTGAGACATGTTCATTTTAAAGTACATATGGAAAAAATTGGCCAGGAATTATAGCCAGGAAATCCTTAAAAAGAAGAATAGGCCAGGCGGGGTGTCTCACACCCGCCTCTACTAAAAATACAAAAGAAAATTTGCCTGGCATGGTGACGCATGCCTGTAATCTCAGCTACTCGGGAGGCTGAGGCAGGAGAATCAGTTGAAGCCAGGGGGTGAAGGTTTCAGTGAGCTGAGATCACTTCATTGCACTGAAACTTGGGTGACGGAATGAGACTCC